TAAATCCCGAAACCTCAAGCAGGCCTTCTTGCCAACCAAGTCGAGGACACTTCGGTACTTCCTTAACTGACACAGGCATGGGACGAGCCATTCTTCCATCTTGGAAGTCAGGGTTTTAGAGTTTCCGATTTAGGGTTCAAGGTTTACAGAGTTTAGGGTTTATGAGGTTCAGAGCCTAAACCCAAAGGACCCTGTTGGGACTCAGGATGGAAGATGCTTTTTGGGTCAGGTTATCATAATGGAGCATCAAATGGACAATGAAACGGAAACTGGTGTTTTATGGTGGTATATAGGTATAACATCTGTTCAGGGTTTACGAAATTGGGTTAGAAGAGTCTTGCGGGCATGTTGAAACCAAGCAAGTAACTTGTGAGGTGCAACAGTTGAATCTGGACATTTCTGAGAATAGGGAATGCCCATCATGTACTCGAACACATCCATTTATGACAAGACACACTACTTTAGGGCGTGCAGTCACCAAATTCTGGGTTGAAGAGAAATACCATTACAAGGAAACCGCGTCAATTTGATTATACCCCAATATTATATTCCATAATGCAGTAGTCTCCATTCTATTTTCCATTATCACTATATTCTACCCCCAACAATATATTGTAATGGGCTCTATTCCTCAACAGCCTGTGCCCTAAACCCTAAATCCGGAATTCCCGCCGCCAAGAGTCTGTGAGTAAAGCTGTCGCCAAGTCTTGTCAACTCGGGCGGTCAAATTTTGTGCGCAGTCCTGTAGAGTGCTTGGCGCGAATCTAGGCACTGGTATATACAAGGGTTACAGCCCCCCCTTAAGTAGATAGAATATGGATTTGGGTATATTATACTAAGATCCCCGTATACCCCATATTCTATCTACATAAGGGGGGCTAAAGGATCTCAGGCTTCAGGGGTTAGGGTGGGCTTCGAAAAGTCTGGTGATCTTCAAGTTATGTTGTCTGACAATGTCTTAGCCTTCCACCGTCATCATCAGTATCGAGACAAAGTACGAGAAAGACTGCCCGGATAGCGACCTGAAAACCACATTTCATGAATCTCACAGATCCACAGATGACGGCAGCACAATCCAAGGTTGAACCATGGGCCCCTACCACAGGGCCTTGGCTTCTTCATACTGAGCATACCAGGAGATGCTGCAACCGTGCCACCAAAGACTTTAGAGCAAGGACTATGTTGTGCATTGGGAACATATTAAGGCAGCCTTTTAGGCCCGTGCAGCTCCTCGACTTCCTATCCTCTGGTATTTGGCGGGTCAGAGGTAGGTTAATAAAGGGGTTAAATGGGATTATTCGGTTTTTAGGGATTTCTAACCTACTTAATTAGTAAGTCTCAGTGACACTCCAAGGAGCTTCCCCAAAATGAAGCAGTTATGCCAGAGAGTAGGTATCATTAGTCCTGTGCACATGAGCAAAATAGGTTTCCTGACGTGTGGGGACCTTGCGATTTCTTACGCCCTTTTCCCCATGTTCCCTTCCAACCCCGGTTTCTGAAACTGCGAGCTGCGCGGCATGTCCACTAATCCTTCTTGCCGCTGCCACTTCTACAAAACACTGACAGCAGCAGCAGTGCTGCGACAGTAGTAGTGGCCGTAGCAGTGGCAGGTGTAGGCGCAGGAGGAGTAGCAGCAGTTCTACTGGCGGCATTAGTCGTTGTAGACCAACTAGAAGCAGAAGCAGTAGAAGAAACACTACTAGCAGCAGCCGACGAAGACTAAACCCTAAACCCTACACCCGAAGACTTACAGAGGTCCTGCCAGTTCAACATCTCAACATCAACATCGAGCTCCTCCTGGACACAGATGAGCAATAATCTAAACTCCTAGTATCCCCCTAATAATCCCTATAAAGCCGCTAAAGCCCCCTAAACCCCCCTTTCAAGAATTTAGATTCTGACTCAGGTCAGCGGACCGTTGCCTTCCTTCTGAGTTTCTGGGTGCACGACCTCAAGCCCCTATTTAGGGATTTAGGGTTTAGGCGTTCAGGGTTTAGCTTCTAGGGTACAGGCTTATGGTGTTGCAGGATTTCCTGAACACTAAATCCTGAACCCTAATTAAACTGCGTATCGACTCCGATGAGCAAGTCAGGACCTGGATTCAACTTCTAGTCACGCTACTGTTGGGGCCTACATGAAGACTGATATTGATTTTGATGTCTATTTGAAGTACCGTATGCTCATTATGAAGAAATAGGACCGTGATAGAGGTAATTATCCGTATAAGCCCCTGTATACACAGTTTCGATGTCTTTTTGCATTGCTTGCCCTTTTGATTTCCACTATCAGGCGTACTTGGTCCCGATCATATCGTATAGCATCCCCCTACTATCCCCACATACGCCCTAGAATGTCCCTGTATAATCCCTGTAGCATCCCCAAATAACCCAAAGAACATCTCTATCGAGTTCCTAGAATATCCATGTATAACCCACTAGTAACAGGAGGCTTGTCGCTGCAGATGCCCTTAACCTAAACCCGAGCCCCAAAACCCCTTACTAGGTAGGCATATTGCGAAACATTAGTCTTGTTTACAGGAGCAAGTGTAGCATAGGTGCTGGGTGGATACAGGTTATAGCAGGGTTATAACTTGAATGCTTTCCTACCAAGATAATACGTGGTTGTTGTGGCTTGTAGGGGTTATGCGGGGTAATGCAACTGAAGATGGAAACAACTGCATTACGTAGGATGTAACCATAACTCTTCCCTATATTACGCAATGGTACGTACTGCATTGAGGCTTAATCATTCAGGTCATTTGGGGTTGGGGGGATTAACATGTGAAGGAGAAGGCCTCTAAAGCCAGCAACAACACATGCTAGCTCCATTGCAGAGGCAAACGGCTTGCGTGAACCCTACTTGAGGGTCAGGGCGACTTAGTAAGTAGCTTAATAACGCTTTAACCCATCTAGTAAACCCAGTGATCCCTATTCTCAGCCTAGAAACTAAGTACCCATGACCCTAAACCCTAAACCCCTAAACCCCAAACCCCTAAACCCTAAACCCTAAACGTCCGGCCTCAGTGCCGTCATTCATCCTAGCACCAGGGAACACTCCCACCACTTGACAGAGCTTCACGACCTTGCAAAGCTTGCTTGAGGGGATCCTTTTGCACAGCTGAAAGCTATTCTTGCTACTGTTACTACAATTACTAGTATTATTACTGTTCTTATTACGACTAGTACTATTATTACTAGTAATATTACTGCTATTACCAGCATTATTACAATCATTACGCACCATTACTAGTATTGCCGGGACATTACAGGAACTATTGGGCAAATTCTCCAGAGATGATTGAGAGTGGAATGGAAAAGAAACGGAGACTGACATGGAAACTGGGATTATAGGGACCTTAGGGCTTCCTGGGTCACTTTCTGGGGGTTCCCATGTCATGACAAGGAGACCAGATGCTTATGGCGAGGTCCCCCTATTTATGGAAACTACCATATGGTGGATCTTGAGTGTCTCGTGACACTACCGTCAAGACTGGGCCCACTTCATCCGGGAATGGTGGTTGTGCCTCACACAACAAGCACACCTTGGTCATTCTGGCGGGTCTACTGAAGATGGCTGACTAGCTTCAGAAGGACTTCCTCGTGCAGAACACAGGTTAAGAATTCAAAGGAGGGGGACCCCCCCAAATTGGACACCAAATATAAACACTCACCAATACTCCCAAGGAACCCTGTGCCAGTGTACACGCATCGAAAACCATGACAGCCGGACTTGGCCGAAAAATCGGGGAAATTATGGGGACCTGCATTATACTGCGAACCCCACCAAAAGGACCCGTATTAAAATTAATGTAAGAAATCCCCACCGTCATGTCAGGGGACCGCGCGCAGAGCCTTCACTTTGCTTGAGGATAGCTGTTAGTTTCTGGCGCAACCTCTTTTTTATTTGAAGGTTTGGATGAATTTTTTAAGGAGATTAATAACGGCCCTGCACCTGCCTTCATACTGTGCCCAATGGTCACAGTAAGGTTTCGAGGGATGACATCCATGACTTACGGATGCTTCAAGTTGGAGCTCGAAGCACACAGCTCTTTTCTAGCTTGAGTAGCTAGTCCGCATAGGTCCGACGATGCAGCATCAAATCAGCGACTACAACAGGGAACCACAAGGCAACCGAGCAGAGGCGGTTTTGTTGCTGGTAATCCCAGGGTTTAGGGTTTCAAGCTTCTTGGTAACCCAGAGACAGATCCAACCAAGATATCTGCACCTGCCTCTGTTGCTTCCTGGTCCCCGAATAACCCGAGGTCGGGTTTGACAAGAGACACCTTGAGGGCTCCGGTCTGGCATAGACGAGCAGCCATTGCCACTGGGGAATATAACGTGCAGCGCCACTCCTGGTGATACTGAAGTGCTAACAACAACTGCGAAAGCTAAGGACGAAGAAAGTCACAAGCAATGAAAATCACGAACACTGCCGATCAAGGACGATCGGCTGAAAAGGTTGCCAGGCGACGCCTCCTGCCCAGCATTGGGGCACAAAGGATACACGTACCTTTAATTCATAGGTCCACAACAATGGCCCGCAACCAGCCTGAACCCCTAAATTTGTGGTAACATTCTTCAATACTCTCCCCCAAAAGCCAGTCAAAAAGCTCCCAGAATGAATCAATGAACTCTATTTGTCCCCTTGTTGGTGTTTGGAACTGCCGTGATTTAACGGCGCCTTGTGGCGGCTGCACTTGGCAAGGCCAAGATTGGCTTCTCTACAGACATGCGAAACTCTGCGATGCAAGCGTAAATCTCAGAACAACCTTCGACTGCTGAATCCAGCGATGGAACCTCAGAGGCCGAGTAAGCGGTGCGAAGCCAAGCCAGGCTGCAAAACCAGCAAATTTTGCCAGTCGAGAAGTGGCCAAGGTATCTACGTGAAACTCAGGCGACACAGCGCTGTCAGGCTGCCAAGGCTAACATCTGCAGCTTGCCTTCAGCGCCTCCATTTTGAATTGGGCAAATAGCCTCGATGCCCCGAATTGTCAGCAGCCGTCAGTATCTTGTGCCTCGGTTCTTATCTAGGCCTTAGCTTTCCACGATGCAGCTGCCAGCCCTCCAGGAGTACGCGTGATAGTGCGCCATGCCAGTCAGGATGGCCGTAACAAGAACAGCAAGAGCCAGGACAACAACCGAACACGCTTGCCACCAACCACAATACCAACATACAACTCCGAACCAAAACTCTGAACCCTATTCTCTCCTTGGCTGCTTGGCTTCTCGCAACGTGATGGCATAGCGGCAATCGGCGGATGAAAGAGTCAAGCTAGTCAGCACAACATGACAACATGCCAACTTCGGGCAACAACACGAACAACCAATGAACAACGTGGGCCATGGAAACCTCAAAAAGCAGGCCATCATCGTTGTGACTCCTATCTCCATTAAGACGGCGGCTACTGCTGCGGCTGCTGCGGTTCGCCGCTTACAGTGTTGTTACAGATGCTGCGACTACGACTACTACTGCTACATACTCCTATCGGTGCCAGCACAGTTTCCATGCTTGCGAGTCGAGAGCTAAACTGAAGACTTGCCGTCCGTGCTATGGTTTCGCTCATGCACGCCCAAATAATTGCCGAGATCTTTTCGAAACAGCTTTTTTTCAGAAATACAAGCCTGGAAGCACAGTCTTAGTATGTATGCAGGCTTCGATACAGTACTGTCCCACTTGGTCCAAGCTGCGGCCCTTGCTTTTCTTCGCCTCGCTTGCAATGTCAGCCTCCTCCTGGTGGCTTGCTTGGAGGGTCATAGGGCTTGGAGGGTCATAGGACTTAGTCGGTAGGTTCATAGCCCCTATAAAAACCCTAGTTATTCCCATTATTAACCTACTTATCAAGTCCCCCTGACCCTCCAAGTATAGTCCCTGTCAGGTAGATAGAAGACGGAGTGTATTGGGATCCGGGCTTGGGGCCTGGGGATTTTCCCTAGTCCATCTGTTGCAGGGGACTATAAGCAGAATTATCTGCCTTTAGCGCAGGAGTTTTTGCTGCAATTTGAGCAGCCTGCATTGCCCAGATATCCTTCTTCCTATACATACTTGCAAGCTACTGCAAATCCATACCAAGTGCCTACTAAATGCGACACCTTTAAATCCGATCACGCAAAGATACTCCGAGTCATAGCTCTGAATTCTGATTGCAGGGGTAGCTTAGGTGGACCCCCCACCTTGTGATAGTACTATAAAGGCTAATAAGGATTAAATTAGGGTCCTGTTATATTCCTAATATACCACTACTACAGGGTGGGGGGTCCTCCTAAGGGATAGCACGCCAATAACAGAGAATCAGACAGTAAGGAGAATGGAGTGGAACATAGCTTTAACAAGGATTCTAGGGAAAGGTAACTACACGTGACTCCTGAGAAATGAATAAGTGGTGGGTGCCTTCCGCTGCCTGAACCCTTAACCCTGAAGATTACTGATTACCTTGTTGCTTTTGCGTAGGGAAAGCAGGAAGGGATAATTGCGACAAGTATTGTGCTTACTTTCGAGATTGGCTAATGTAGACCCCTGATTAATAAACCCTCTCTCCTCAATAGGGATTGTAATAGGGATCCTGATATTTAGGCCATTAAAGGCTTATTAATCATGGGTCTACATTACAATCCCAAAACCCCTCAAAGTCCTAAAGCCTAAACTCCGCGAACCAGAGGCGGCCACCCCCAAAGCGTGCTTCCCTTCATTCCCTACTGAAACACAGCGAGACACCCCTGTATAGGCCTATGCATAACCCCTAGTTTCCGTTTGTAACCCCTACCTGTAAATCCTAACCCCTAGTGGCCCTAAAAAAAAGGCTCCTCATCCCCCGTGGCAGGCAGAGACGCCTGAAACTTTTTCAGCAGTGAAGCGTCATTCCGGACCTCCTTCAGACATGATTTCGCTGGCTTGGGGGTTATATGAGGATTATACGGATTTTTTGGGGGATGTTATACCGATATATGGGGATGATGAAGGGATCTTACAGATCTCCTATGCGGATAGTACACCAATAATCGAATCAAAGTGGAAAGGACATGGAAAGTTAATTGCGCAGTGATTTCATGGGGATTTTGCAGGTTTCCGGAAATCAGCAGCCCTGCTTGTGGAATTTCTCTATAGTTATATAATGTTATATATATATTCTAGTATATGATAGTATAAGGATTGTAGTGTACTGGGTCTATGTTTGTGGGCCCCTGTTTTCCTGTTTATGGAGTGCCCTACTTCAAGGGAACGGAGGGATGCACAGGGCTAAACGACTGTTCTGGGATTCTCTGCACCGCTGCGCAAGTGCCGAAGAGGAAGCTGAAACATATCGGACTCATATAATAGCAGTAATCAGGGCAATTATAATCATCATATACTTAGATACCTACAAGTAGATCGGTGGCGTAGGGTGGGCCTCCACCCTAAGCCCACAGGGAATATGAGGCAACAGCGCTCGATGCTTCTTCCCTTAAATGAGCTGAAAAATGCCAAGCATGCGGTTTAGGGTTGAGGGCTTAGGGGTTTTCCGGATGGTGAGCGGCATCTAACATACTCTTGTTTGCTTGGGAAAGCAAGCGGAATCCTCATATCATCACCTTGCCCTCCAACTCCAAATTCTAATAGCAAGAATGGTCATAGCAGTAGATATGAGAAGGATAATCTACATCATAACTGTAGCAATAATGCCATAACATTAGGGGTCGGGGATTCCTTGCGCCTGGCACCCGCCCTTGCGCCGTCTTGCGCATGTGGGAAAACAGTGCGTAGATATATGAAGTGCATGGTCAAAATGTATGAGGAATGAACTGTTCTTGTGCCCGCCCTTGTGCGAGCTTGCGCATTGCAACCCCTTGTAAAACTCTAATGTCGCCGTTAGTCTTGCTGCAATATAGGCTAGGATTCGAACAGCATCCGATTCTATAGTAGCATAACCCGAATTAACCCCTATATGACTACCCAATACACTATAATTGTTTCCTTTTCATTTTCCATTATCCCTATATTATATAACCCCTAAATTCATAGCATACAAATTGAAACCCAGAAGAGCTTGGCCGTGATGCTTTTCAGGTTGCATGACATGTAACTGTACCTGAAAATCTCTTCCCATAGACGGTCACGGAGTCTTAGTAAGTGTAGGTGAATAACTCCTAGAATATATATAGAATCCACATTTATGTCCTGGTTGTCGAAGTTTTTGCTTTGTCCCCTGGACCCTCCAAGCAAGACAGCCGGATCCTTGTTCCAACCCGACAAAGAGGGCCTCGTAGTTGTAAAGCTTTCCCAAAACCCCAAGAAGTCCAATCTACTACCTCCATAATGACATTGCTCTAGCTTCCCCACAGCCCTGTTCCTGCGGCAAATAGTCGAGGACCGTGTCTCCTGACAATTACAGAGGTCAATCCTGGTGGTACCCTAAGGGTCCAAGGACCCCAATAACAGGGTTTTAGTAGGGCCCAAATACTATAATATTACTGGTATTTGGGCTCTAAAGCCCTATTATTTGGGTCCTTGGACCCTTAGGGGTAACGACCGTTACTCGGAAGATTCACCGGCACTTGAACTGCGAGTGCATACACGCAGGAGAACTATATGGATGCTCGCCATTGCGGCACGTACATCTTTTTGGAATACCCGTGAACTTCCAAGTGCTAGCAACATACATGAAGCACCTCATTCTAGTAGAAGTAACCTCAACTAGCGGGAATTCTGAGCAGTCATTATTAATCTCTTCCTCATATTAATAAACCCCCCCTAATAATA